CCTCAGCCTCCCGAGTAGCTGGGATTACAGGCGCCCTCCACCACGTCCTTTAGTAGAGATGAAGTGTCACCATGTTGCTCAGGCTGGTCTCGAACTCCTGACCTGAAGTGATCCACCCGCCTCAGCCTCCCAAAGTGCTGGGATTACAGGCGTGAGCCACCATGCCTGGCCCCAGGAACCACTTTCACCTACTGAATATATATTAAGCCCTCTGCCACAATGAGAATATACATAATTTATCTCAGAACAATTAAGACATTTACCACTGTAAATGACAAATTCAGACTTAGAGAAGGAAAGATTTTATTCAAAAGGACTATTGCAATAGAGCGAATGTTCCAATTACAAGATCTGAAAATGTCCAAGAGACACAAACTAACAAGCATTTTTTTTTTTCATATATGGAGGAGTAAACAAGGCTAGAAAGCACAAGCACAAGTTATGGGGCTGTGGATGAGCATTTGGCATGACTACAGTTATTCAGGGAAAGTTTATGTTATGTTATGTTATGTTATGTTATGTTATGTTATGTTATGTTATGTTATGTTATTTATTGGAGAGAGTCTTGCTCTGTCACCCAGACTGGAGTGCAGTGGCGTTATCTCTGTTCACTGCAACTTTTCATCTACCAGGCTCAGGCAGTCCTCCCACCTCAATCTCCCCAGTAGCTGGGACTACAGGCACACATCACCACGCCTAGTTAATTTTTGTACTTTTTTGTAGAGACAGGGGTTTTGCCATGTTGCTAAGGCTAGCCTTGAACTCTTGAGCTCAAGGGATCCCCCACACCTTGACCTCCCAAAGTGCCGGGATTACAGGCGTGAGCCACCGTGCCCGGTCTATTTATTTTTTGAGAGAGCATCTTGCTGTGTTGCCCAGGCTAGAGTGCAGTGTCAAGACCATAGCTCACTGCAGCCTTCAACTCTGGAATCAAGTGATCCTCCTACCTCAGCCTCCCAAGCAGCTGGGACTATGGGTTTGCACTACCACACTTTACTAATTTTTTTACTTTTTGCAAAGGCGGATTCTCACTATGTTGCCCAGGCAGGTCTTGAACTTCGAGCCTCAAGTGATCCTCCTGCCTTGACCTCCCCAAGTGTTGGGATTACAGGTGTGAGCCTGGCTCATCATGGAGTTCAAGACCAGTTTGGGCAACATAGCAAGACTCCCATCTCTACAGAAAATTTTTAAAAATTATCTGGGCATGGTGGCACACACCTATAGTCCCAGCTACTCAGGAAGATTGCTTGAACCCAGGAGTTCGAGGCTGCAGTGAGCTATGATCCTGACACTGCACTCCAGTCTGGGCAACAGAGTGAGAACCTGTCTCTCTTTCAAAAAAAAAAAAAAAAAAGCCTACTCTTGGGAGGGGTGTTGTTAAGGAAAAGTTGTTCCAAATTACACTGACAAATAATGGTTCAGAGGGTTGGGCATGGTGGCTCATGCCTGCAATCCCTGCACTTTGGGAGGCCGAGGTGAGCGGATATGAGGTCAGAAGTTCGAGACCAGCCTGGCCAACATGGCCAAACCGCGTCTCTACTAACAATACAAAAATTAGCCGGGCGGGGTGGTCCACGCCTGTAATCCCAGCTACTCAGGAGGCTGAGAGGCAGGAGAATTGCTTGAACCAGGGAGGCAGAGGCTGCAGTGAGCTGAGATTGTGCCACTGAACTCCAGCTTGGTTGACAGAACGAGACTCTGTCTCAAATAAATAAATAAATAATAACAAATAAATAAGGCTGTGTGCGGTGGCTCGAGCCTGTAATCCCAGCACTCTGGGAGGTTGAGGCGGGCGGATCACATGAGGTCAAGAGATCGAGACCATCCTGGTCAACATGGTGAAACCCTGTCTCTATTAAAAATACAAAAATTAGCTGGGCGAGGTGGCACATGTCTGTAGTCCCAGCTATTCGGGAGGCTGAGGCAGGAGAATTGCTTGAAACCAAGAGGCAGAGGTTGCAGTGGGCCAAGATCATGCCACTGCACTCCAGCCTGGTGACAGAGTGAGACTGCATCCCATGAATGAACAAATTCATGAATAAATAAATAGTGAATTAGTAATCAAAAACCTCAAAAAAGAAAAGTTTGTAGCTGTACACGGTGGCTCACACCTGCAATCCCAGCACTTTGGGAGACCGAGGCAGGCAGATCCCTTGAGCTCACAAGTTTGAGACCAGCGTGGTCTACATGGTGAAACCCTGTCTCTACAAAAAATACAAAAATTAGCCAAGTGTGGTGGTGCGCATCTGTAGTCCCAGCTACTCGGGAAGCTGGGGTGGGAGGATCACTTGAGCCCAGGAAGTTAAGGCTGCAGTGAGCCAGGATTGCACCACTGCACTCTACTGGGCAAGAGACCAAGAGTCTGTCTCCAAAAAAAAGAAAAAAAAGACCGTTTAAAAAGTTCTGGAGTTTGTGTAGGTTTTGGAGAAACTCCTGCTGAGCCATACCCTCTGCACTAGAGAAGGAAATGTTACACTAAAACACACAAATCAATAGACATTCCCTGATACAACAGTTCCACATATCACAAATTTAAAACTATGAGTACTAAGGTGTCATCAACAAAACTGCTGATTAAATAAAAAGCCAAGTTCATTTATAATACATGGAAATGTACTAGACAAAATTAGCAGTGCTGGAGCGACCTCAGCAAGGTGGTTGACTACAGAAGCCTAGTAAAAATCATAAAAAATAACAAAGTAATTTTACTAAAGTTGAAAATAAACCTTAGAATATAAACAAACATTTCAGTGTTTGGCATTATCACTGTCAATACTGAAACTAAACCTTAGAAGGAGTTCATTGCAGTTCCTGTAAAGTGGTCACAAGTTAAAATTCCTAACAACGTTATCAGGGTGAATATATAATTTCTACTTTATCTACCAAAACAAAACAAAATTCACATTGTGTATGTTAACTTTTAAAAGGAAGGTCATAAACAATAATTATTCTTTTCAAATTATGACACTGAACACTCTAAGGATAAAAAAACATTTTATCCTTATCCCCCACATTTAAAACATTTTAGGGTATTTTCCATATTCTTTTTTTTTTTTTTTTTTTTGGAGACGGAGTCTCGCTGTGTCACCCAGGCTGGAGTGCAGTGGCCGGATCTCAGCTCACTGTAAGCTCCGCCTCCCGGGTTCACACCATTCTCCTGCCTCAGCCTCCCGAGTAGCTGGGACTACAGGCGCCCGCCACCTCGCCCGGCTAGTTTTTTGTATTTTTTAGTAGAGATGGAGTTTCATCACGTTAGCCAGGATGGTCTCGATCTCCTGACCTTGTGATCCGCCCGTCTCGGCCTCCCAAAGTGCTGGGATTACATCCATATTCTTACTATATTTGTACTTTCCCTTCATGTAAATCAAGGTGTACTCCTTGGGTCTTATCTGACACACAAGAGGCATGTGGAAAAATAATCATATGGTGCAAGTCACCAAGAGTGATACAGCTGGCCAGGGACGGTGGCTCACACCTGTAATCCCAGCACTTCAAGAGGCTAAGGCAGGCAGATAACCTGAAGTAAGGAGTTCGAGACCAGCCTGGCCAACATGGTAAACCGTTGTCTCTACTAAAAATACACAAATTAGCCAGACATGGTGGCGTGTGCCTGTAATCCCAGCTACTCAGGAGGCTGAGGCAGGAGAATCGCTTGAACCCGGGAGGCGGAGCTTGCAGTGAGCTATTGTGCCACTGTACTCCTGCCTGGGCGACAGAGCAAGACTCCGTCTCAAAAAATAAAAATAAAAAAAAAGAGTGATACAGCTTTCATGGTGTAAAATAACTTTCTTGGGATTTTCATTATATTCACATAAGTATCCTGAGGCAGGGCATATGGAGAACAACTCAAGTGCACTCTATGTGTATGTTCCCAACATTCTATTTAATTCCAAGAAAAAAAAATGGTTCTATCTTTCAGCCTTAAGAGTCTAATGGTGTGTTGTTATCGTCTGTTACAAAGTATAACCTACTAAGGTGTGATAAAACTATGTTGGTAGAAAGAACATGATGCATTCATAGTTATGCAAAAATTAGATTTTATTAATTAGCACATGAGATCTATGATACATTCTGAATAAAACGGTAGCAAAATGTAATAACAGCAGTAAATGTGAATCCTAATTAGTAACATAGTATTGTGGTTTATCTTTGAGGTTGTGGTTTCTACCGTGGTTTCAATCTTGGCTGTACAACAGCGATGGCCGTTCCATGCAGAAGGTAGCCACCATTTTCCCCTGAATTATTTCCACCATGGAATCAGTCACTTATAACCCATTACGCTCCTCCCACAAATCAAAATGTCTAAGGTCTTGGTTGGCTCTTATTTTTTTTGAGACGCAGTCTCTCTCAGTCACTTAGGCTGGAGTGCAGTGGTGTAATCTCGGCTCACTGCCACCTCCGCCTCCCGGGTTCAAGACAGTCTCCTGCCTCAGTCTCCCAAGTAGCTGGGATTATAGGCATGTGCCACCACTCCTGGCTAATTTTTGTATTTTTAGTAGAGACGGGGTTTCACCATCTTGGCCAGGCTGGTCTTGAACTCCTGACCCCATGATCCACCCGCCTCAGCCACCCAAGTGCTGAGATTACAGGTGTGAGCCACCACGCCCGGTCGTGGTCTGCTCTGTTTCATGGTCAGTTTGTAGGTCATCTCTTTCCTGTAACCCAAAGTGCCCTCTGTCAGGAGAACACCCTGAACACAATAAGGATGATGATCAATATCATCGTTTTGCATTATTCTCTGCCTGCCCACATGCTTGGTAATTTGGGGCAGAGTCCTTATTCTTCAAAGAATTTGAATAGAAATGATCCTCATCTAATGCAGTGAGCCCTTCCATCTTACTGATTCTTTCCCAGGCATCACCATGAAAGGCAGGTAAGGAGGCATATCAACAGATTTCAAGGTTTAGGTTGAAAGTCATAAATCCTAAAATATAAAGTAGTAGCCTTGCAAGACACCTAAAATAAATAAATAAAATATTTTAAAATCTGGAGATAACCAGTGACTTCAAACATCCTGTAACCTTTAATACATATCATGTTGTGTATGTGTTTTAACACATTTGAACTTGCAGTTGTTCTACAATGTATATGAAAAGTTTATCAGCACTAGATTGAATTATTCCTCACATAAATCCTTGGATGTTTTACAGTTTTGATCCTTGGTTAATAGCTTCAACATGCACAAAATATAAAAAGATGTATATACATTTTGATATCTAGTGAGTTGTGAGACCTAAATGAAGCCTCTGCCACATACTTAGGTTTATATGATTTCTCTTTAGCATGGACTCTGACATCAATGAATGCTTGAACTCGTGATGAAGGGTTTGCCATACTTGTAAGGATTCTCTCGAGAATGAAATTCTCTGATGCTGTGTAAGAGTTAATTGTGACTGAAAACCTTGCCACATTTATTATATTTGTATGGTTTCTCTCTGGTATAAATTCTTTGATGACTCACAAGATTTAAACTTTGACTGAAGACCTTGCCATACTAATTTCTTTTATAAGGTTTCTCCTTAGTATGGATAATTTGATGTCTAAAGAGGTTTGGGCGCACACTAAAGGACTTCCCACAATCACTACATTTGTAAGGTTTCTTTCCAGTATGGATTATCTGATGTCTAGTGAGGTTTGGGCGCACACTAAAGGATCTGCCACATTCATTACATTTGTAAGGTTTTTCTCCAGTATGGATGACCTGATGGGTAGTTAGGCTTGAATGCACACTGAAGGCTTTGCCACACTCATTACATTTGTAAGGTTTCTCTCCAGTATGGATGACCTGATGGGTAGTTAAGTTCGAATGCACACTAAAGGCTTTGCCACACTCATTACACTTGTAAGGTTTCTCTCCAGTATGAACTCTCTGATGACTCGCAAGGTGTGAATTATAACTGAAAACCTTACCACATTCATTGCATTTGTAAGGTTTCTCTCCAGTATGAATTCTCCAATGCCTTGCAAGGCTTGAAGTTTGACTGAAGACTTTACCACATTCATTACACTTGTATGGTTTCTCCCCAGTGTGAATTCTCTGATGAGTTGCAAGGCTTGAAGTCTGACTGAACACCTTGCCACATTCATTGCATTTGTAAGGTTTCTCGCCACTATGAATTACCTGATGGTTGCTAAGTGTTGACCTCACACTAAAGGCTTTGCCACACACATTACACTTGTAAGGTTTCTCTCCAATGTGAATTTTCTGATGTAGTGCAAGGCATGAATTGCGACTGAAGACCTTGTCACATTCATAACATTTGTAAGGTTTCTCTCCAGTATGAACTCTCCGATGCAGTGCAAGGCATGAGTTGCGACTGAAACCTTTGTCACATTCATTACATTTGTATGGTTTTTCTCCAGTGTGAACTCTCCGATGACGCGCAAGGTTTGATTTTTGACTAAAGACCTTGCCACATAGATCACATTTATATCGTTTCTCTCCAGAATGACTTACCTGATGTACAGTCATGTGGGAGCCATGATTCAAGGCTTTGTCACACTCATTGTATCTGTAAGGTTTTTCCCTAATGCATGATTTCTGTTCTTGTGTGAGTAACGAAGAACAGACGAAATCAGTCCCATATTTATTAGAAATATGGGTTTTGACGGTAGAAGAAATTATTTGGGGTGCTGAGACTGAGGAACCATGGTTGACAGACTTCTCAACATGGTTACATTCATAAATTTTCCCTTCAGCCTGAAATTGCTGCAGTTCAGGGGGATGTGGTAGAAAGCTTAATCCAAGCTGATTTTTAATAGACTTGTTTTCTATACCACTTCTATCATGTTGGTCTCTTCTACAAGTAAGATTTTCTTTTGGGGCCATAGTCGCTTTGTTGTAATTTCTTTCATTATCTCTCCACTGACAGTCAAAGTCATGTATTTTTTTCTTCATTTCCCTGAAGCAAAACTCTTCGATGTCATGTTTTTCATGTTGTTCCAATGTCACTGTGTGGAATACTTCTTCTCTGTTACTTTCCCGTTGCGGTGCTAATTCCTTGATCATACAGTTACGAGAGAGATCTATAAGAAATAAAAAACCATAGGTTTCCAATTAGAGACAGTATATAAATATTTTATACTGAATAACAGAATTACACAAAAAGCAATATTTATACACAACAGAGTTATAAAACTTCCCAATCAAGATCTTTAATTTTTAGGAACACAAAGGAATCACATTCTTTAGTAAAAAAAAGGTGATTATATGTAATTCAAATGAATTCTAGGGAAGGACAGTTTCAAACATCCTATGACCAAAACACATTGTTCAAACCTATGTTAGCCCTGAAAGGAGTATTTTTTCACCTTGACAACAAAGTACACACCGATTGGCAGAAAAGACATGGCTGTCTCATTATTGAAAGGAAATAAATATTACATTTTACCTAGCTACAGCATATTTACTGTGCCCATATACATGAAAAAAGTACTACACAATATATCATAATGGCAACTAAGCCGCAACAAACTTATGGAATAAGGTACATAAATGATAATTCTGAATTGCAAAACAGTAATAGCACTGACAAAATGAGAAAAAAATTAATAAAACATTGTTAAAAATAGCTAATTTTTCTGAATACCTGTTATGAAACTATCTGTACCCATCCAGACCAGGCATTTTTGACATTAATGAGTGATGCATGTCAGTTATATTGCATGAAACTTACTAAAAACCCATCATCTGTAAATCATAACAATTAATTAATAAAACACTGTAGTAACCCATGATAAAACCAGCAAACCAAAAACTAGTAACTACCTTGTACAAAGTTATAGCCTGTAAATGATTCTCACCTAAGAAAAAAACAAGGACTATTTCAGAACCAGCACACAACCTGTGAACCAGAATATATGTTAAGATCTCTGACATTTGATGCATGAGGTCAGGTAAATATATAGCATTATAAAGAAGTGAAGAACAAAGTCAGAAATCACAATTATGACTTCACACCTGCACTTATACAACAAACAGCCAGTCAATAAAGCAATTCCCTACATATGCATTGTCCTTTCGTGACCTAGTTCATCGACCACAAAACACACATAACTTGGCAAATTTATTAACTGAAATCAGAGAACACAATGTTTAGAACGGACTGAAAAATAAAAACAAACAAAATAGAATGCAGTCTCTACGGTCTGAATATATTGGCCAAAATTCATATGCTAAGGTCCTATTCCCTAGTGTAATGTTGTTGCAGATGGGGCATTTGGGATATAATTAGGTCATGAGGTTGGACTACTCAAAAATAGGATTAATGTCCTTACAGGACGAGATGTAAGAGCTCGTTTTATCTTGCCCTTTCCATCATGTGGGACAGTCAGAAGATGGCTGGGGTAAACCAGGCAGCGGGCCTGCACCAGGAACTGATTCACCTGGCTCCTTAATTTTGACTTCCCAGCCTCCAGGTCTGGGAGATACAAATTTCTGTGGTTTAGTTCTCCTAGCTTATGATATTTCTTTTTTTTTTTTTTGAGACAGAATTTCGCTCTTGTCGCCCAGGCTGGAGTGCAATGGGGCAATCTTGGCTAACTGAAACCTCCGCCGCCTGGGTTCAAGTGATTGTCCTGCCTCAGTCTCCCAAGTAGCTGGGATTACAGGCGCCTACCACCATGCCTGGCTGATTTTTGTATTTTTAGTAGAGATGGGGTTTCACCATGTTGGCCAGGCTGGTCTCGAACTCCTGACCTCAGGTGATCTGCCCACTTCAGCCTTCCAAAGTGCTGGGATTTCAGGTGTGAGCCACCGTGCCTGGCCCGCCTGTGATATTTCTTATGGCACGATGAGTTATATAAGACAGAAAAAGGACAATCTCATCACAATCATCAGAGAAGGTTGATCAATCTTATTAAACAAAGAAACTTTGGGACTTTACTGTAAGACATGCAATATTCCAAGTAATCACATACCACCACCTTGTTTTAAAAACTTTCAGGTAAATTGTTATTATTTTTCAAATAAAGACATTAGGCTCACAGTATTCATGTATCTAATCTCAATTTTTACAGAAAATAAGAGAAAAACAGGACTAAATCCTGGGCCACGAGGCTCAGACTTTTTTTTTTTTCCTTTTTGAGACAGAGTCTCACTCTGTCGCCCAGGCTGGAGTGCAGTGGCGTGATCTCGGCTCACTGCCACCACTGCCTCCCAGGTTCAACCAATTCTCCTGCCTCAGCCTCCCGAGGAGCTGGGATTACAGGCACCTGCCACCATGCCTGGCTAATTTTTTTTTTATTTTTAGTAGAGAAGGGGTTTAACCATGTTGGTCAGGCTGGTTTCAAACTCCTGACCTCAAGTGATCCGACCACCTCGGACTCCCAAAGTGCTGGGATTACAGGCGTGAGCCACTGCGCCAGGCCACCAGACATGTTTTTAAGCACATGTCCACCCAGGCAGTACGGAAAACCTGGGTGGACATGTGCAGTGTTGAAAACTATCAGTCACAGCAAGAATGCACCCAGGCAAGGAGCACATGAAGAAAAGGAGATACAAGAGCTGGACTGCGTTGGTAATAGTGTTATTCAGTCAGCTCTTGTGGAAGGCAGCTACGCTCACCACTACACCACCAACACATCTAGTCAGTCAGCTCTCATGGATGATGGTATGTGAGTCATGACTTCCTGCACATACTGATTTAGGCAGATCCTGACTTACAAAGCGGCTGAGTGGCATCTAGTCTTGCATACTGTAAGTAGTGTGGAGGGTGAAGAAGTCCTGTGGAAATCGGGTGTTCAGGAATACAAAATCAATATGCTAAAAAGCAACAGTATATTCCATGCAGATCAAGATATCATGTGAGGATAGGAGAGAGAAAGGGCAAGAGCACAGGGGAGGGAGGAATGGGAATATAGGAGGAAAATTGGTGCATGCATGTCTCTGGGATATAATTCCACTAGGACAGTTACAATTCTGACCTTGGGGCCGGGCATGGTGGCTCACGCATGTAATCCCAGCACTTTGGGAGGCCGAGGTGGGTGGATCACCTGAGGTCGGGAGTTCAAGACCAGACTGACCAACATGGAGAAACTCTGTCTCTACTAAAAATACAAAATCAGCCAGGTGTGATGGTGCACGCCTACAATCCCAGCTACTCAGAAGGCTGAGGCAGGAGCATCACTTGAACCTGGGAGGCGGAGGTTGCGGTGAGCTGAGATTGTGCCATTGTACTCCAGCCTGGGTGACAAGAGCGAAACTCCATCTCCAAAAAAAAAAAAAGTATCTCAAAAAATACAGAATTTATGACTAAATGAAAAAGGTGTTCATTTATACCACATGTAAATGTACAAGATGAAAGTAATAGTGGCTTAAACAAATGACACTGGACTTTAAAAACCAAGGCATTACAGCGGTGTGAAGCAAAAAAAAAAAAAAAAAATGAGAAGAAACCAAGGCACCATTCAGTTTCACAAGCTCCCTCCACAAGATGTGATGTGTCAACGCTGTATTTATTGTAGGTTTGAACCTACAACAAATTGAACCCAGGCTGAACAAAGGTTTGGTGATGAGAATGAACAATGGAGCACACAGGATGGAAAATGAACAAATACGGCGTGAACAATAGTTTAGTCAAGAGCCTCACACATATGATGCTGTGAACTTGGACAATGTCATCACTAGGAGAACATCCCACACCGACTGCTGGCTTAGGGGAGATGATCATTAGTTTATGTGTCCAGCACTGTCACAGTGCCCTTCAGATACACTTTTTTTTTTTTTTTTTGAGACGGAGTCTGGCTCTGTTGCCCAGGCTGGAGTGCAGTGGCCGGATCTCAGCTCACTGCAAGCCCCGCCTCCCGGGTTCACGCCATTCTCCTGCCTCAGCCTCCCGAGTAGCTGGGAGTACAGGCGCCCGCCACCTCGCCCGGCTAATTTTTTTTTTGTATTTTTAGTAGAGACGGGGTTTCACCGTGTTAGCCAGGATGGTCTCGATCTCCTGAACTCGTGATTCGCCCGTCTCGGCCTCCCAAAGTGCTGGGATTACAGGCTTGAGCCACCGCGCCCGGCCAGATACACTTTTGTGAGGCTCCTCAAAACTCGAAGGACAGCTGGAAACACTTGTCAATCAGGCTCGCCTGATATTTTGTATCCTGGGCCATGCTGACAATTCTCAGTGCTTTAAGGGGCATCTCTACATGTAGCAGGAGGCTATTCAATTATATTAGTCAAAGAGTTTTCCCTCACAAATTTCCTGTTATCACATAAACACCCTCCATAAGAGACTCCAGGAGAAGGTATGCATAACCTATAGGTTGGTTATCACAGCAGGAATACAAATGACAGACCCTAGGGGTGTGTATATCAAAAGCCGGGTTTTGTTTTGTTTTTGAAATGGAGTCTCGTTCTGTTACCCAGGCTGTAGTGCAGTGGTGCCGTCTCAGCTAACTGCAACCTCTGCCTCGTGGGGTCATGTGATTCTCCTGCCTTGGCCTCCTGAGTAGCTGGGCTTACAGGCGCATGCCACCACGCCCGGCTAATTTTTGTATTTTTAGTAGAGATGGGGTTTCACCATGTTGGCCAGGTTGGTCTTGAACTCCTGATCTCAGGTGATCCACCTGCCTTGGCTTCCCAGAGTGCTGGGATTACAAGGCATGAGCCACCGTGCCCAGCCATGCCTGGCTAATTTTTGTATTTTAGTAGAGATGGGGTTTCACCATGTTGGTCAGTCTGATCTTGAACTCCTGACCTCAGGTGATCCACCCACCTCGGCCTCCCAGAGAGCTAGAATTACAGGCGTGAGCCACCGCACCTGACCCAAAGTCGGTTTTCAGAGGAAAAATCATGCAAACTTAAGAGAAAACAAAATCAGGAAGAGCCAAGGTTTTTCTACATTCATATAGTAGTGAGACCAATGGAAGAGAGAGAAAAATACAACATATGAAGCTGGATTTTGAAAGATCTTGAGATAGGATTGTCTGCTCTGCCTATAGATAGATCCTAAGCTAAGAGCCTGAAAGACTAAGATATACTCCCTGTGTAGGACGGGGGATCCCAGTGAAGACCTGTCAACTGTTCTTACAGTTCTGGTGAGTAACAGTCTCAGAAGATCCAACCCCTCCCCTGGTCCACACACCCATGAACTGTGGCAAAAGCAGAAGAGAAGAAATGGCTGAGGGATCACAACAGGCACAAAGGGCTTGAGACAGTTCCTTGCAGCTTGCAGGGCCTCCGATGCAAAGGAGGAGCAGCCAGTGTTTCCCATCTCCTGCGCAGGTCTTCCAAACACCGGAAATGAGGTGGAGCATAGATAGCTCCAGGCATCAGGACTGTGGAGGCCTCAGCTCTGATCTATACGGAAAGCGAACTGAGCATCAGGTGGGCATCGAGAACAGGAGAGACTGGCAGGGCGCAGCAGCTCAAGCCTGTAATCTCAACACTCCGGGAGGCCGAGGCGGGCGGATCACCTGAGGTTGGGAGTTTGAGACCAGCCTGACCAACATGGTGAAACCCCGTCTCTACTAAAAATACAAAATCAGCCAGATGTGGTGGTGCACGCCTATAATCCCAGCTACCCGGGAGGCTGAGGCAGGAGAATCATTTGAATCCGGGAGGCGGTGGTTGCGGTGAGCTGAGATTGTGCCATCACACTCCAGCGTGGGCAACAAGAGCGAAACTCCATCTCAAAAAAAAAGAAGAACAGGAGAGACCAAGGGAGAAGCAGACCCTTGTGATATGGCCCCTCCTGGACCCCTCAGAGTAAAGGAGCCAGAGAGTTCACGGAAGTCAGAGGGCAATGTTGTCCATCATAATAAGCACTTCCACTTGTCTCTGTTTGAGCTGCAGCTCCCCTGGACAGCGAAAGGATCATCCATGACACGTCTCAAGGGCAGAGGCAGAAGTAGGGGAAGTTTAAAATTTCCTCTAAGAGCTCACAGGATATAAACATTTGTTTTCCTATAGAACTCTCCCACTGGCTGAGAGTTTCCAAACATAATTTAATGGTGTGGCTTCTTCTCCCCCCATCTGAGGTCTTACCTATTTTCACACCTTTGATCCATTCCCACCCTTTTGGTTTTCTTGCTATTTGCACTTGGCTTTCCATGGTCCAGGGCTCTTTCCTGTGCTCCCACATGAGATAATATTCTGGTCAAGAAGAGAATTTCCTGCTTATGAAATGAATGGAACATGATGTGCTGTGGCTTTTCAACAATCTCAGCCCTTTGCTTGGATAAGAAGAGAGAATATCACAGATGGATCTAGGAAAATATTTCACAAATTCTTTCACTGAATGCCTACTCTGAATGCTTAGGGAAGACTGTAATATGCAAATATCTAGCTCCCCTCCAAGAACTACTGAATCAAAGTACAGGGGTAGAAAACAAGAAGTGAGTATTTCAGAAGTCTACTATAAGCTTTCATGGATACTTCAGCTCTGGAACCACCACTGTTGTATCAGGAAGGGATCAGAACATCTGGAAAAAGGGGATGGTTGAACTCCAGAGTCCACATTATGGAGCTTTTCATTTCAGAGTCAACAAGGCCTCAAACTCAGTCAGGCAATGCAGGGGCTCCCAAGAGGCACACAAGGGAAAATAGCAAGATACCAAGGGCAGATTTTGACCTCTGGAAGAAAATAATCCTCACCCAGGGAGACCAGGTTCCTGTAGTTCTCCAACATCACGTCCCTGTATAAAGTCCTCTGTGTAGAATTCAGGCATTTCCACTCCTCTTGAGAGAATTCGATGGCCACGTCCCTGAATGTCAACTGTCCCTAAAATAATAAACACATTTCACCAAGGGGTTATGAAGGGAGTTACCATCTTCACACAAAATAAGAATAAAAGAGAATTTTAAGTATAGATTTAATTGAAGTGTGTGTTCTGATAAACCTACACTAAGGTATTTTTGAGTATACATCTCTCCCTAATTGTGCTTTTTTTTTTCTCTCTCTTTCTTTTTTTTTTTTGTTTGAGACAAGGTCTCGCTCTGCTGCCCAGGCTGAAGTGCAGTGGCATGATCATGGCTCACTGCAGACTCAATCTCCCAGGTTCAAGTGACCCTCTGACCTTAGCTTTCCAAGTAGCTGGACTATAGGCATGTGTGTACAAAGTACATTTGAAAACTTCCATGATGAACTAGGGATCAAGCAGAAGAAAAAAATTCAGAACTTGAAGACAGGTCTTTTGAAATAAACAAGTCAGACAAAAATAAAGACAAAAATAAAAAAGAATGAACACAGCCTATGCGACATATGGGGCAGGCACCATAAGGTGACCAAATATTTGAATTTTTGGTGTCCCAGAAGGTGGAGAGAAAATGAAAAGGATAGAAACCTATCTAACAAAATAATAACCAAAAACTTTCTAAGTGTAGTAAAAAGCTTAGATACCTAGATACAGGAAGTTCATAGATTCTCAAAGAGAGACAATCCAAAAATGTCTTCTCCTTGGCACATTATAGTCAAACTGTCAAAAGAAAAAGAAAGAGAATTCTAAAAAAAAAAGCAAGAGAAAAGCATCTGGTCACTTACACAGGGTGCTCCATAAAACAGGAAATTTCTCAATAGAAACCTTACAGGCCAACAGAGAATGGTATGATATATTCAATGTGCTGAAAGAAAACCAAAAACAAAAACAAAAACCCTGCCAGCCAAGGATACTATACTCAGCAAAATTATCCTTCATAAAAAGGAGAAATAGTCTTTCCCAGAGAAGCAAAGGCTTAGGGAATGCTTCACCAGTAGACTGGCCCTACAAGAAAGGCTTAAGGGATCCCTACATCTAGAAGCAAAAGGACAATATTGGCCATCATGAAAACACACAATACTATAAAACCCACTGTCAGAGCTAACATGCAAGTAAGGAAAGGAGTCAAATGTAAATGTTACCACTATAGAAAACCACCAAACCACAATGAAAAAGTTAGACAAAGAAAGGAGCAAAGAACATACAAAACCACCAGAAATCAATGAACAAAGTGACAGTAACAAGCCCTTGCATGTCAATAATGAACTTAACGTAAATGGTTTAAACTTTCCACATAAAAGATATAGACTGGCTAAACTGATACAAGCATATAACCCAACTATGTGCTACCTTTAAGAAACTCATCTCAGCCAGGTGTGGTGGCTCACGCCTGTAATCCCAGCACTTTGGGAGGCCGAGGCGGGTGGATAACAAGGTCAGGAGTTTGACACCAGCCTGGCCAAGAGGGTGAAACCCTGTCTCTACAAAAAATAAAAAATCAGCCGTGCATGCTGGCATGTGCCTGTAGTCCCAGCTACTTGGGAGGCTGAGGCAGGAGAATTCCTTGAACCTGGGAGGTGGAGGTTGCAGTGAGCCGAGATCACGCCACTGCACTCTAGCCTGGGTGACAGAGTGAGACTCCATCTCAAAGAAAAAAAAAAAAAAAGATTCCATCTCAAAAAAAAAAAAAAACTCAAAGAAACTCATCTCAACTGTAAAGACACAAATAGACTCAAAGTGAAAATATGAAAAAAGGTATTATATGCAAATGAAACCAAAAGCAAGCAGGAGTACCTCTACTTAACAAAATGAACTTTAAGTTAAAAACAGTAAAAGAGATGAAAAAGGTCATTATATACTAATAAAGAGATCAATAAGAGGAATATAACAATTGTAAACATATATGCACCCAACACTGGAGCATCCAGACATATAAGGCAAATATTATTAAAGGGAGAGATACACTCCAAAACTAATAATTGGGATTTTAGCATTAGACAGCTGATTTAGACAGAAAATTAATAAAGAAACACTGAATTTAAACTGCATTTTAGACTAGCCATACCTAAGAGATATTTATAGAACATTTCATCCAACAAGTACAGAATATACATTCTTTGCATCAGCACATAGAACATTCTCCAAGACAGACTATATATCAGAACACAAAACAAGTCTCAACACATTTTAAAAATATCAAAATCTTAATAAGTATCTTCTTAGAACAACAATGGAATAAAATTAGAAATCAATACCATGAGAAACTTTGAAAACTATACAAATACATGGAAATTGGACAGCCTAAATGACCACTGGGTCTAGGAAGAAATTAATGGGGAAATTTAAAAAAAAATCTTGAAACAAGTAAAAATGAAAACACAATATGTCAAAACCTATGGAATACAGCAAAAGCAATGCTAAGAGGGAAGTTTATAGTAATAAACACCTACTTGAAAAAAGTAGAAAAATTTCGAATAGGCCAGGCACAGTGGCTCTCTCCTGTAAACCCAGCACTTTGGGAGGCCAAGGTGGGTGGATCACCTGAGGTCAGGAGTTCAAGACCACCCTGGCCAAGATGGTAAAACCCCGTCTCTACTAAAAACACAAAAATTAGGCTGGGTGCAGTGGCTCACGCCTGTAATCCCAGCACTTTAGGAGGTCAAGGTTGGCGGATCACGAGGTCAGAAGATCGAGACCATCCTGGCTAACATTGTGAAACCCCATCTCTACTAAAAAATAGAAAAAATTAGCTGGGCGTGGTGGCAGGCGCCTGTAGTCCCAGATACTCGGGAGGTTGAGGCAGGAGAATGGCGTGAACCTGGGAGGTGGAGCTTGCAGTGAGCCGAGATCACGCCACTGCATTCCAGCCTGGGCAACAGAGCGAGACTCCATTTCAAAAAAAAAAAAAAGAAACACCTAGATGGCAAACCCACAGCTAAAATCACGCTGAATGGAAAAAAGCTGAATGCTTTTCCTCTAAGAACTGGAATAACTCAAAGATGCCCACTGTTACCACTTCTATTTCACACAGTTCTGGAAGTTGTAGTCACAGCAATCAGGCAAGAAAAAGAGATAAAGGACATCGAATTGAAAAAGAACAAGTCAAACTGTCCTATTTTACAGATGATATTAATCTAAAAAAACCTCAAGGGCCCACCAAAAAATACTTAGTTCTGATAAATTCAGTGAGGTTGTAAGTTACAAAATCAATATACAAATACCAGTAGTGTTTCTATACACCAAAAATAACTACCTGAAAAAGGAATCATGAGGGCAGAATCAAAGGAATCACAAAGGCAAAATCAATTTATAAGAGTTACAAAGAATTAAAATACCTAGGAATGGCAGGCTGGGCATGGTGGCTCACACCTATAATCCCAGCACTTTGGGAGGCAGAGGCGGGTGCATCACCTGAGGTCAGGAGTTTGAGACCAGCCTGGCCAACACGGTGAAACCCTGTCTCCACTAAAAATACAAAAGATAAGCCCAGCGTGGGGGCAGGCGCCTGTCCCCCAGCTACTTGGGAGGCTGAGGCATGAGAATCTCTTGAACCCAGGAGGCGGAGGTTGCAGTGAGCCGAGACCAACCTGTGCAACAGAGCAAGACTCAGTCTCAAAATATATATATATTAATTCTTTCAATTTGTGAGCATGAAATGTCTTTCCATTTGTTTGTGTCCTCTTGAATTTTTTTCACCAGTATTTTGTAGGGTTCTTTTTTTTTTTTTTTTTTGAGACACAGTCTGTCTCAGTCACCTAGGCTGGAGTGCAGTGGTGTAATCTCAGCTCACTGCAACCTCTACCTCCCGGGTTCAAGGGATTCTACTGCCTCAGCCTCCCAAGCAGCTGGGATTACAGGCATACACCACACCTGACTAATTTTGTATTTTTTTTAGTAGAAATGGGGTTTCTCCATGTTGGTCAGGCTGGTCTTCAACTCCTGACCTCAGGGATCCACATGCCTCGGCCTTCCAAAGTGCTGGGATCATAGGTGTGAGCCACCGTGCCCAGCTGTAGGGTTCCTTTGGTAGACATCTTTTACCTCCTTGGTTAAATCCATTCCTAGGTTTTTCTTCTTTTTTTTTTTTTTTTTTGAGACAGAGTCTTGCTCTGTCACCTAGGCTGGAGTGCAATGGTGTCATCTCGGCTCACTGCAACCTCCACCTCCCAGTTTCAAGCAATTCTCCTGCCTCAGCCTCCTGAGTAGCTGGGATTACAGGTGCCTGCCACCACACCTGGATAAGTTTTTGTATTTTTAATAGAGACGGGGTTTCACCATGTTGGCCAGGCTGGTCTCGAACTCCTGACCTTGTGATCTGCCCGCCTTGGCCTCCCAAAGTGAGAATTAATATTGTTAAAATGACCATAGTGCCCAAAGAATTTACAGATTCAATGCAATCTCTATTGAAATACCAATGTCATTTTATTAAAAACAGAAAAATGAATCCTAAAATTTGTATGGTATCAAAAAAGAGCCCAAAGAATCAAAGCAATCCTGAGTAAAGCTGAAGGCATCACTCTACCTGACTTCAAAATGTATTACAAGGCTATAGTAAACAAAAGAGCATGGTATTGGTATAAAAACAGCCACACAGACAAATGAAACAAAATTGTGAACCCAGAAATAAATACATGTACTTACAGCCAAATGATTTTTGACAAAGGCACCAAATACATACACTGGGGAAATGACATCCTCTTTAATAAATGGCGCTGGGAAAATTGGATATCCACGTGTAGAAGAATGAAATTGGATCCCTATATGGCACCATATACAAAAATCAACACAGATGCATTAACAACTTAAAAATAAGACCCCCAAAATATAAAACTACTATAAGAAAACAGGACAAACACTTCAGGACACTGGTCTAGACAAAGGTTTTATGGCTAAGACCTCAAAAGCATCAATGGCAAAAACAAAGATAGATAAATGGCACTATATTAAATTTAAAAGCTTTGCATAGAGTGAAGAGGCAACCTGTTGAACAGGAGGAAATATTTGTAAACTATTCATCTGACAAAGGACTAATATTCAGACCGTACAAGGAACTCAAACAGTTCAAAAGTAACAAAGAAATAATCCCATTAAAACTTGGGCAAAGGACAGAAGAGACCTTTCTCCAAAGAGGACATACAAATGGCCAACAGATGTATATAAAAAATGCTCAACATCAGTAATCATCAAAGAATGAGAAAAGCACAGTATCATCTTATCCCGGCTATTACTAAAAAAGACTATTAAAAGACTATTACTAAAAAGACTATTACTGGCTATTACTAAAAAAGACAAAAAAAATAACAGATGCTGGTGAGGATTATGGAGAATGGGTAACTCTTATTCACTGCTGGTGGGAATGTAAATTAGTATAGCCATTACAGGCCAGGCGTGATGGCTCACATCTGTAATCTCAGCACTTTGGGAGGTCAAGGCAGGCAGATACCTGAAGCGAGGAGTTCGAGACCAGCCTACTCAATATGACAAAACTCACCACCCCCTGTCTCTACTAAAAATACAAAAATTAGCTGGGTGTGGTGGCGGGCACCTGTAATCCCAGCTACTCAGGAGACTGAGGCAGGGAGAACTGCTTGAACCTGTGAGGCGGACAATGCAGTGAGCTGTGATCGTGCCACTGCACTCCAGCCTGGGCAACAGAATGAGACTCTGTCTCAAGAAAATTAAAATAAATAAATAAATAAATTAGTATAGCCATTATGAACAGTATGAAGACTTCTCAAAAACTAAAACTAGAACTACCACATAATCCAGCAATCCCATTACTGGGTATTTATCAAGGAAGAAGAAATCAGTATATCAAAGGGATACTGTACTCCCATGTTTACTGCAGCACTATTCACAATAGCAAAGATATGACATCAACCTAACTATCTATCAACAGGTGAATGGATAACGAAATGTGGTATACTCAGCCATAAAAAAGAATGTAGCAACATGAATGGAACTGCTGGTCATTATATTAAGTGACATACATCAGGAACAGAAAGGCAAATCTCACATGTTGACACTCACTGGTAGGAGCTAAAAAAAGTTGATTGCATGGAGGTAGAAAGTAGAATGGTAGTTATCAGAGACTGTGAAGGGTGTGTGGGTGGGTGCGGGCAGGGAGGACAAAGAGAAGTTGGTTAATGAGTACAACTATAGTTAGAAGGAATAAGTTCTAATGTTCGACAGCATTGTAAGGTGACTACAGTTATCAACAATGTATCGTATATTTTCAAAACAGCTAGAAGAGAGGACTTGAAATATTCTCAACACTTAAAAATGATAAATAATTGGCCGGGCGCGGTGGCTCACGCCTGTAATCCCAGCACTTTGGGAGGCCGAGACGGGCGGATCACGAGGTCAGGAGATCGAGACCATCCTGGCTAACACGGTGAAACCCCGTCTCTACTAAAAAATACAAAAAACTAGCCGGGCGAGGTGGCGGGCGCCTATAGTCCCAGCTACTCGGGAGGCTGAGGCAGGAGAATGGCGTGAACCCGGGAGGCGGAGCTTGCAATGAGCTGAGATCCGGCCACCGCACTCCAGCCTGGGTGACAGAGCGAGACTCCGTCTCAAAAAAAAAAAAAAAAGATAAATAATCAAGGTAATAGACACCTCAAATACCATTACTTGATCATTACACATTCTATGACACATGCAACAAAATATCACATCTGCCCCTTAAATATGAACCAATATGATGTATCGACTTGAAAAAGGAGCAAGCTATCCTTGTTCCTTAATATGAAAACATGTAAATATTCACAACTTGCAGGATAAAATACCCCAACAAAACATTTACTGAAAATTTTCTTCTGAAATCTCACAATGATTAAACACATTTCAACAGGGCTTGAACTGTCTCTTCACACAGAACTGACAATAGTGGCTCACCATTGAGACGTGTGCAAGGGTGTAAGGCTTGATAGGAAAAGGGATGCTCTGTATCTAAGCACCTAAATGTGTCTCTACTGAGAGTTTCACCATAAAACAAATATATACATCGTGTGATGTTTAAAAAAAAGCAGCATAACACTTAATAATAATAGATATCATAAGAATATGGCTATATCCTCTTCAATGAAAAAGGAGTTCTGCTCTGATATCTGAGCAAAACTGTTATCATTTTTGCCTAAAATATCTGATGCCTAAGAGACCCTGCAGGAATAGCACCATCTCCGTGGTATGCAAATGCTGAGAATGGTTTAAAAACTTGGCCGGGCGTGGTGGCTCACGCCTCTAATCCCAGCACTTTGGGAGGCCGAGGTGGATGGATCATGAGGTCAGGAGTTGGAGACCAGCCTGACCTACATGGTGAAACCCCGTCTCTACTAAAAATACAAAAATTAGCTGGGCGTGGTAGCGTGCACCTGTAATCCCAGCTAGCCAGGAGGCTGAGGCAGGAGAATCGCTTGAACTCGGGAAGCAGAGGTTGCAGTAAGCTGAGATCGCGCCACTACACTCCAGCCTGGGTGACAGCAAGACTCAAAAAAAAAAAGTCCTACTCCTACAGCTGGCCAGGCACAGTGGCTCACGCCTATAATCCCAGCACTTTGGGAGGCTAAGGCAGGTGGACCATACGGTCAGGAGTTCAAGACCAGTCTGGTGGCCAACATAGTGAAACTCCATCTCAACAAAAATTAGCCGGGCACAGTGGTGGGCGCCTGTAGTCTCAGCTACTTGGGAGGCTGAGGCAGAGGAATCACTTGAACCCGGGAGGTGGAGGTTGCAGTGAGCCAAGATCATGCCACTGCACTCCAGCCTGGGCGACAGAGTGAGACTCTGTCTCAAAAACAAACAAAAAAAAGTCCGACAGTTACACTTTTTGTTGTTGTTGTTAGACAGAGTCTCGCCCTATCACCCACACTGGAGTGCAGTGCAGTGGTGCGATCTCCACTCACTGTAAACTCTGCCTCCCAGGTTCAAGTAATTCTCCTATCTCAGCCTCCTGAGTAGTGGGGATTACAGGCGTGTGCCACCACGCCTGGCTGATTTTTGTATTTTTAGTAAAGACGGGGTTTCACCATGTTTGCTGGTCTCAAACTCCTGACCCACAGTGATCCGCTCACCTCGGCCTCCAAAGTGCTGGGATTACAGGCCTGGGCCACTGTGTTCAGCCTTACAGTTACACTTCTACATTGACTTTATGTTTCAAAGTCATTAAAGGAAAAAACGCCCTCTGGTACTGATGTCTGCATCTCAACTTTACATTCCATTCCAAGTCATTAACAGTCTGGAGTCAGAGAATCAGGCACAAAATATATCCCCTTATTGGCTGCCTTTTCCAGGATTTACCAGGTATTTGTCTACATTAATATGTGACTTTAGGCCAGGCATGGTGGCTCACGCCTGTCATCCCAGCACTTCGGGAGGCCAACGCAGGTGGATCACCTGAGGTCGGGAGTTCGAGACCAGCCTGACCAACATAGAGAAACCCCATCTCTATTAAAAATACAAAATTAGCCAGGCATGGTGGCGCATGCCTGTAATCCCAGCTACTTGGGAGGCTGAGGCAGGAGAATCGCTTGAACTCGGGAGGCAGAGGTTCCGGTGAGCCGAGATTGCACCATTGCACTCCAGCCTGGGCAACAAGAACGAAACTCTGTCTCAAAAACAAACAAACAACAACAACAAAAAGAAACATGACTTCCATGGGCAGCTTCTCTGCTTCTCGATTCCTGGGCCACAGAGAGCTGACAGAGCATCCAGATGTGGCCCCTGAACAATCCCTGCTGCCCGACAGCACTGACACCACGGGACCCTCACCCCGTCTCCATCCATGTCTGGGTGTGAGCCCTTCCCAGGACCACGCCCACTGGACTCTTCCCAAGGTCATGTCACTGGGTCAGAGTGAGACGGAATCTCAGTAGAGATGAGAGGGACTGAGGAAAGGCATGGGCGAATGTGAGCAAACGCGTCAGGCAGGACACTTCAGAGTCGGAGAAGATTTGCAGCTCCAATGCATTGTCTCCTGCCTTTCTGAAAGGAAGAAGACAGAATGATCCACACAGAATCTTTCTTTACCTGAGTAAAAGCCATTCCTGACTCCTTTGCTCTCTTCTTCCGGGTTTCTTCCTCATGTGCCAAGAGTCTTTAGAGGTCAATGCTGAATAACAACAACAACAAAAAGTGCTCTTTATTGCTCAAAAACAACACACCCCCTCTTGTGTGACAGGCACACACATACACAGGGAGGAGCTCGCCCTGTGCAAAGATGGTCCTCTGCTGCCCACTGCACCAGGGTGGCCCCAGGGACAAGAAACTCCTACAGGAAAACCCATACATGAGTCTTCTGACCCCTTTCTTCAGAACCCTCTCCCCTCCTGGAGAAGCTCGCACACACGCTGCAGCACTGGGGAGTAGACCCAGCCCTGATCAACCGCCATGCAGAGCCCAGCCCCTTTTCCCTCTCTGTGGCTCCCAGGCCGAGCTCAGCCCTCAGAAATAGAGGGCGCAGAGCCTTGGTGCTCAGGGCTGGATATAGTTGAGAATCATGCTGGGCACTGTATCATCTAGGGCGGGTCCCAACCTATGTGAATGGGAATCTCTGTGACACGGGTGCGGGCACAAGAAGTATATCTGCAAAGTACCTCAGCACTTCCACGTGAAGCCAGGGGTGAGCTCTACTCAAACAGGGTCAGCCCAGCATAGCCCCCACCTTCTGACTCTGTTCTCCCCTTGGGACCTTGGGTTCATCAGGATCCAGACAGTGGAAGCAGAAAGAATCGAGAGAAGCATGCAGAACAGGTAATATGGACCAGAGAAGGGAGTGAGGGTGCGGCTGGAGTGTTAAATGGGAGGTGGGTCACAGAAGTCCCCACTGAGAGGGTGATATCAGAACAGAAACCTGGGGAAGGAGGGTGTTTGCACCTGCAGCTGAGGGGTCAGCGAGTTCCAGCAGAGGGACAGCCCACGTGAAGGCCCTGAGGCAGGAGCAACCTCAGCCCAGGAACAGGAAAGATACCTGCGTGGCTGGAGCAGAGGAAGAGAGGAGGATACAGGTAGGAGATGAGGCCAGAGAGGTCCTGGGAGGGCAGATAAGACAGGGCAGATGCCTTCAAACGTTTTTCTCCCATATCTCAAAAGAATTTTGGAAATTATATATTTCCTCACCCATTTTAATTAAACATATAATATTTTCTTTATAAATTAACACAGTTACAATGTAATATCTTATATATTTGAAGTCCCAGGAAATACGTGGTCGCCCTCATCTGAGATGTGCAGGACTGCAGGGGAAGGCATCTAGGGAGTCAGGAAGTCACTTTTGGACACCTGAAAGTGGAGATACCTGTTAGATGTCCTAGCAGAAAGTTGAGGAGAAGGCCAGGCGCAGTGGCTCACGCCTGTAATCCCAGCACTTTGGGAGGCCGAGGCAGGTGGATCACCTGAGGTCAGGAGTTCGAGACCAGCCTGACCAACATGGTGAAACCCCATCTCTACTAAAAATACAAAAAGAAATTAGCCAGGCATGGTGGTGGGCACTGGTAATCCATCCCAGCTACTCGGGAGGCTGAGGCAGGAGAATCGTTTGAACCCGGGAGGCAGAGGTTGTGGTGAGCCGAGATTGCGCCACTGCACTACAGCCTAGGCAACAAGAGCGAAACTCCATGTCAAAAAAAAAAAAAAAGAGGTTTATTTGGCTCATGGTTCTGCAGGCTGTACAAGCAGCACAGTGCCAGCATCTGCCTCTGATGAGGGCCTCAGGAAGCTTCCGTTCAGCGTGGAGGGTGAAGGGGCGCCAGCAGGGCAGATGAAATGGTGAGAGAGGAGGCAAGAGACAGAGAGAGGTCAGGCTTTTTGACAACCAGCTCTCAGGGGAACTAAGAGTCAGAACTCACTCCCTAGAGAATGACATCAAGTCATTCGCAAGCGATCTGCTCCCATGACACTCACCAGACCCTACCCCCAAGTTTGGAAATCACATTTCAACATGAGAGTTGGTGGGGCAAAACAAATCATATCCAAACAATTGCACATTCTGAGGCTATGAGTGGGGCTGGCATCTGGTACACAATTGGAGGGTTAGCAGCAGCCAGGAGCAGGAACAGACCATTCCCAGTCACTACTGAGTAGGGATCCTAAGCCCTGAGACAGGTGGGTGGGTAAGTTGGAAAAGATCTCTTCCTTTGCTTCCAGGGGCTCAACAGTGAAGAAAAACCAAGGCCTTCAAATGAGCAAAAAGAAGAAAGAAAAGTTCCAGAGACAAGGTACAGAATAGAAAAATAGGAGAATGGAAGAGGTGTGGGGCAGGAATTAAATGACACCAGGAAATCTGGGTGTATGTTTTCTCCAGGCTGTGATCAGTTACCCAGGGACAGAAGCAAAGTAACAGAGTTGGATGTGGGGATATCTGGGAGAAACACATGATTTCGTACACTTGACTTGCAAATCATGTAGTATCTGAAAGGGTTTGTTCATATCCAATTTTTTTTTTTTTTTTTTTTTTTTAGACGGAGTCTCGCTCTGTCAACAGGCTGGAGTGTGGTGCCGTGATTTCGGCTCACTGCAACCTCCGCCTCTCGGGTTCAAGCAATTCTCCTGCCTCAGCCTCTTGAGTAGCTGGGAATACAGGCACATGCCACCATGCCCAACTATTTTTTGTATTTTTAGTAGAGACAGGGTTTCACCATGTTGGCCAGGATGGTCTTAATCTCCCGACCTCATGATCCACCCACCTCAGCCTCCCAAAGTGCTGGGATTACAGGCATGAGCCACTGCTCCTGGCCTTTTTTGTTTTTAAACAGGATCTTGCTCTGTCGGCCAGGCTAGAGTGCAGTGATGCAATCCTGGCTCAGTGCTGCCTTGACCTCCTGGGCTAAAGCAATCCTCCCACCTCAGCCTCTGGAGTAGCTGGGACGACAACAGGCACAAGCCACCACATCTGGCTAATTTTTAAATTTTTTATAGAGACAAGGTCTCACTATGTTACCTAGGCTGGTCTCAAACTGGGCTCAAGTGATTGTCCTGTCTCAGCCTCTGAAAGTGCTGGGATTATAGGTGTTAGCAACCATGCCTGCCATATCTCTATCACTTTAAAAATAAAACTGGGGCCGGGCGCAGTGGCTCACGCCTGTAATCCCAGCACTTTGGGAGGCCGAGGCGGGCGGATTATGAGGTCAGGAGTTTGAGGCCAGCCTGACCAACATGGTGAGACCCCATCTCTACTAAAAATACAAATTAGCCGGGCGTGGTGGCGCATGCCTGTAATCCCAGCTACTCGGGAGACTGGGGCAGGAGAATCACCTGAACCTGGGAGGCGGAGGTTGCAGTGAGGTAAGATCATGCCACTGCATTCCAGCCTGGGTGACAGAGCAAGCCTCCGTCTCAGAAAGTGCTGGGATTATAGGCATGAACCACCGTGCCCGGCCTCAACACTTTTAATGTTCCTTTAGAGCAAGGTTGTCCAATCCGCAGCCTAGGAAGGCTTTGAATGCAGCCCAACACAAATTCCTAAACTTTCTTAAAACATTTTGAGATTTTTTGCATATTTTTAATTTATTTATTTATTTATTTATTTTTAGCTCATCAACTATTGTCAGTGTTAGTGTACTTTATGTGTGGCCTAAGATAATTCTTCTTCCAATGTGGCCCAGGGAAGCCAAAAGATTGGACACCCCTGCTTTGAAGAGACACTATGTAGTGACAGAGTCACTTTCTGTCCAGCTTTACTCTCCCACTCCCCCTTCCCCTCCCCCTGCCCCAATGCCAGGGAAGGGGAAGAGGATGACCTGTGGGATTAATGAGTCAAGTCACTTCCCTCTGCCTTAACAGGGATTGCAAGTGGAAGCTAACTTCTGATGCCGTAATTATAAAATGCACCAGCCTTAATAGGCAGGAGTTTTGCAATTCTCATCTTCATCCGTGTATTTTAAACTTATAAAGACAGAAATCAACAGGTCAAAATGTAGATAACACATCCAGTCAATTCACAACTCACCTGGACCCAGGGTCCTCCTGTTTCCTCATTACGGTGTGTTTCCCTCCCTCATTCCGTACATAGCTCTCATTCTCACCTTCTTTCTCTAGCTCTTTCCTTCCCCTTTATTTTCCCCCTAGGATTCTGCTCATTTTGAGCCCCTCTCCTCTCCTGCTGTTTCTCCCCTTCTTTCCTCTATTTCTTCTCTTCCACCTGTTCTTTCCAGTCTTGCAATTTGTTTCACCTCATATTCCTCTTCCTAATCTTTTCATTGTCCCAATCTCCACATATTTCTGGCTCTTTGTTCCCCATTTCAGCGCCCCCTGTTAAATTCCCTCTTCCCTGTTACAAACCCTTGTCCCCACTCTTTGGCACCCCCAGATCCCAGGCCTCCCCGTGCTGTGGTTCTCTCTCTGCTCTCCTTGTCTTCGGCTGCCCCTTCTTTTTGTCCCAGCACCACACTGCTCTGTCTGCCCTGGCTCCAAATCCCTCCTCCTCTCTCCCACTCTCTATGTGAGGAGCCTCCCCCTTTGCTGCCACCCGCCCTACCTTGCTGTCCTTCATCTCTTTGGATACTGTGCGTTTTCTCGAAATGTGTCTAGTTACTTTTCTCTCCTTGCAACTTTCTGGGCTTCTTCTTTCACTCTTACTGTCTCTTTGAAAATCTCTAACCATCCTCTACTTTGCCATCTGTTTATTGGTTTCCCTCATTCTTTCCTCTGTCTCAGGTTTCCTACTGCTCTCTCTGTCCCTCTCCCGATCCCTTTGGCCCACACATTCACAAGAGGGTTTGGGGTAAGATGCCTGCAACCTGGAGGAGAGCATTTTCCAGGGAGTGGAGGGGGGCAGGCAAGAACACCGGATGTCACAGGACAGGCCCTGAGCACCTCCTCAACGCGGGCTCAGGTGAGGGCTGGGGAGCAGCAGGGCCCGGCACGAGGAGGAGGGAGGTGGAGGGCGACGGCACCTTCGGACAGGGTGGGGTCTGCAGGATCCCAGGACCAGGCAGAGCACGCGGGCTCTGGGGCGCTGCGCTCCAGGGGCCGACAAGGGCGAGGCTGGGATGCGCCCAGGACGGGAATCCACCTCTTGGGTGAGGACTTTAAAAAGCCCGGGGTTGGAGGAGGGGTCAGGAAAAGGTTTTAAGCGGGAGGAAGCAGCAAAGGGCCGGGGACAGGGAGCAGCCTCAGAGCGACTTCAACCCAAAGGGAAGCGATTCCGGACCTACACCGTGAGGCCTGTATTCACCTGGGGTGAAGGGCGCGGTGCGGGAATTTTAAAGCCCGTAGCGACCCCGGGCATCGGCTGTGGAAATGGGAAACAGGGAGCGCAGGTTTAATCTACACAGAGGGCCACTCACGCTCAGCGCCGTCACCTTCACCCAACACGATCCGTTTCCGGGACTGTAGGAAACTGCGCATGTGCGGAGAGAAGAGCCCAGGCAGCCTGGAGGCGTGGCGTGGTTGGAGTGGGCGGGGCCTGCGCCGTTTTAAGGTTAAGAAGCAGAGTTGTGTGGGCCACTTATGTTGGAAACCAAAATATTTTCCACTTACCAAGTTGAAAACGGTTTATGGTAAAAGCATTTTGCCTGCAGGTTGGACCCGATCCTGCTAGGGAGTCTCCTGCAGCTTAGCAGTCCGGGAACTGGGATTTCAGTGGGGGATCCACAACTAGCAGTGGCTGGATCCATAAACGTTATTGAAAAACAAAAATAAAGTGTCTGGAATAAATCCACTGGATTTCAAGACTACCAATATAGGAAAGATAATAAAAATTGTGTGGTATTGGGGCAATAAAAGACATGGATTGATGCAATACAATAAGTGAGTGCAAAAATAGCCTCCACAGGTACTTCCAACTGATTTTTGACAAAGTTACCGAGGGAATTGAAGGAAGGAAGAATTTTGTAAAACTGGTGAGGAGCTAACTTAATATCCATAGCAGAAAAGAAGTCATCTTTACTCAAACTTCACAAGCGTACAGACATTAGCTCAACATTGACCATACCCTAAATGTAAAGTATCAAACCATAAAATGGTATCCTGTAAGAGACTGAAAGAAAAAAATATTCACAGAATAAAATCGTAAGAATCAAGAGCTTGTTCAAAAATTCTTAGCCATGGCAGCAAAAGCACGATTCATTAAAGAAAAAAAATCAACTGGTATTTACCAAATTAAAAACTTAAGACAAGTAAAGAAAAGGTATTTGATATGGTTTGGATCGATGTCCGCATCAAATCTCATCTTCAAGTATAATCCTCAGTTGTTGAGGGAGGGACCTGGTGGGAGGTGACTGGATATGGAGGTGGTTTTCCCATGCCGTTCTCATAATAGCAAGTTCTCAGATCTCATGGTTTAAAAATCTGTGATAGTTCCTCCTTTGATCGCTCTCTCTCCTACTGCATGCAAGGCGTGCCTTGCTTCCCCTTTGCCTTCCTCCATCATTGTAAGTTTCCTGAGGCCTCCCTAGCCAAGTGGAACTGTGAGTCAATTAAACCTCTTTTGTTTATAAATCACCCAGTCTCTGACTGTATCTTTATGGCAGTGTGAAAATGGACTAATACAGTACTGAATAATAGAAAATATTTGCCTACCATATATCTGCCATAAAACTGGTATGTGGAATGTATAAAGAATTCTAGAATGACTTAAAAAAAAAGCAAAATAATCCAATTAGAAAATGGATAGAACTATGAAGAGACATTTCACTGAAGCAGATATACTGAGATAAATGGGCACATAAAAACATTTCCAACATCACCATCCATCAAATCTCAGACCTCAGCATTTTCTGCTTTCTCCATATGAACCCCTGGATGCTGTCAGAGATAATGGGAAACACAGGAGCTTCTACTGAACAGTCCAGTTGATGTGTATTAGCAACCTGTAATTGTTTTTGGAAACTAACAACGGAAACACAGATACAAAAATATTAGCTCAACAAATATGCACTGTCTTTGTCACTATTAGCGATTTTTTTTTGAGACGGAGTCTTGTTCTGTCACCCAGGCTGGAGTGCAGTGGTGTGCACTCGGTTCACTGCAACCTCTACCTCCTGGGCTCAAGCGATTCATTGGCCTTAGCCTCCTACGTAGCTGTGACCACAGGTGCGTGCCACCACACCCAGCTATTTTTTGTATTGTTAGTAGAGATAGGGTTTTGACATGTTGGCCAGGCTGGTCTGCAATTCCTGACCTCAGGTGATCTGCCCACCTTGGCTTCCCAAAGTGCTGGGATTACAGGGGTGAGCCACCGCGCCTGGCCACTATTAGTGAATTCTTAAACTCACACCTCAGGTACTGGATGCCTCCTTCGAAAGATTTGATAATCTTTCTTACAGGATTATGTGGTAATGAGTGTCTCTGTCATTCATTTAGGTAAGATGCATAGGCAATAGTGATCTAAAAAAATGTAGACTTAATTGATCTATAAAAATATAGATTTAATACAAAGTTACCACAATCACAATGACACATGAAGATAAACCATTTAAAAATTACAAGAGATACTAACAAAATAGGCATAGCTGGTGAGTAAAGGACAAAAATAACTAGCATTGTTACTGTAGCATCATCATTAAAAGCTTTGTCTTTGCAGCCACACAACATGGATTCAAATCTCGATTCTGCCTCTTACTGAAATGTGATTGAGCCTTTTAAAGCAGAATATGCTGAGGTCTGAGATTTGATGGATGGTGACGTTGGAAATCTTTTTATGTGCCTATTTATCTCAGTATATCTGCTTCAGTGAAATGTCACTTCATAGTTTTAACCATTTTCTAATTATATATAACATATATGTATATATTACATAATGTGTATATTATATACGTATATATTATATACAGTGTATATTATGTGTGTATATTATATATGTATATATTATATACATTATATATGTATATTATATGTATATAGGTATATTATATATGTATATAATATACATATGTATATTACATACATATATGTATATTATAGTATATGCATATACAGCATAGTATGTACATAATATATACGTATATTATATATGATGTTATATGTATATAATATACATATATTATATATGTATTTTAGAGAGAGAGAGAGGGAGATGCAGTCCTGCTCTGTCGCCAAGGCTGGAGTGCAATGATGGGATTTCGGCTCAATGCAACAGCCACCTCCCAGGCTCAAGCGATTCTCCTGCCTCAGCCTCCCAAATAGCTGGGATTACAGGTGCCCGCCACCACACCCAGCTAATTTTTCTATTTTTAGTAGAGATGGGGTTTCACCATGTTGATCAGGCTGGTCTTGAACTCCTGACCTCAGGTGATCCCCCCCCACCTCGACCTCCCAAAGTGCTGGGATTACAGGCATGAGCCACTGTGCCTGGCCTAATTTGATTATTTTGCCTATCTGTCCTAGGTTTCCTCACCTCTGAAATGAGAATATCATCAATACTTATTTCAGGGAGCTGACGATTCAGTTGTTACATTTAAAGCATTAATAACTGTGATTCTTACTCTAACTGCGATTGACCTAAAAGAAAATATATATGCAAAGATAAATCACTTATTAAAGTATATATATATATGTTTTTTTTTAATGGAAACAAAACTAAAGGGAGTATATTAAATGGCAGCTATCATGGCAAAAGTTGCACAAATATCATGTTTTGCTGTAAGAGCCTCTGGCTCAGAACAGAAATACCAGCCACAGTGGGAAGTTGAACTGCCTCCAGGGACTCATTGAGAGAAATTATCTCCTTTGCATAAATGATAGTATCTTGGGGACTCTCTTATTAACTGTATTTTCATTTACTTCTCCAGATGCTGGTTAACATCCACACGCTTGATTTTCAAGCAGCTGATCTTTGATAACTTCCATATTGAGAGACTTCATTTCACCATCTAGTATCCCTGTACTTTAATTGAACTGAAGATTTACAAGGACACTCCATTTTCCTATTTACAGAGAACCTAGTCTGTACCTGCCATTGTCTTACATACATTTTCATGTCACAAAATTTTATTTCCAAACAACACCCTAATTTATGTATTTTCTAAGTTTTCACTGGAGTAACACAGAGAAGAAATGCAGTAAACATATAATTTAGATTAAAATGTATGGAAGGAAAAAATCCTTAAAGTAAAAATCATATACAAAAAGTCATTTTACTACTATTGGCTCACGGCTGTAATCCTAGCCCTTTGGGAAGCTGAGGCAGGAGGAATGCTTGAGGCCAAGAGTTCAAGACCAACCTGGCCAACATAGCGAGACCTCACGTCTAAAAAGAAAAAGAAAAAAAAAAGATGCTATGGAATATATTACACAATGCCATAAACTGAACATGACATTAACATAACACAGCCTTTGGAAAAATACCCTTTGGCTAAAGTTGCTTGATCATATTATGTAATAAACTTTTCCACAAATTCATTTGCACTGAACTACTCTAAAAATATTTTAGGCAATTTAAACAGCATTTCACAAACATTTTCAAGAATGACGTTATGTAATGGGATCTATGGGTTCAGCAGAAAAGGAAGAGTAGTTATCTACTATATGAAGAAAGCGAAGGTCTTTCCTAACAAAGAAGTTAGAAATTTTTTTTTTTCTCTTTTGTTTTGAGACAGAGTCTCACTCTATTGCTCAGGCTGGAGTCCAGTGGTGAGATCTCAGCTCACTGCAATCTCCATCTCCCAGGTTCAAGTGATTCTCCCGCCTCAGCCTCCCTAGTAGCTAGAACTACAGGTATGCGCTGCCACACCTGGCTAATTTTTGTATTTTTAGTAGAGATGGGGTTTCACTATGTTGGCCAGGCTGGTCTTGAGCTCCTGACCTAAGGTGATACACCTGCCTCAGGCTCCCAAAGTGCTGCAATTACAGGCATGAGCCACCATGCCTGGCCAGAAATCAGAAGTTTCAAGAGTAAATATTCAGTGTTGTACTAGAGTCAGTTTCCATTTTGTGATTTTCGTCTTATAACACCTTTTATACCTCTGCACTCCCCCTTCTTATTCTGCCCATCTGGCCAAGCTGGTAATGCCCGTGTTCCCTCCTTTGGCACTAGATGGAAGTTCAAAGCACGTGTGGGACCCTCACCCCAACTTCACCCTTTTATTAAAGGTTATTACCATAACACCCCAAGCAAGTTATTTATCCTTGCTCTCTCAAGCCATTTTGGACCAGTTTGGGAAGTCAATCCTGCTTCTCACAGAAAGCCTCATTATGCAATACACATTTTCCTAAAACTTCATTGTTTGGCATCATCATTTTCCATATCTAAACCAAACTGTAGGTGGAGTTCAATACACTTCTTGTGGAGAGGTGACAAATTAACATTGCCAAAATCGTGATAAGGTTAAATTTATGAAACTTCTAGTTTACCTACCAAAACAAAATGAAATTTCCATTTATATGTTCATTTTTAAGAGGAAACTGATGAATATTAGTCTTGTCAAATTATTTCACTGAGCATAGCATTCTTTATTAGTGTTATTTTTGTTATTCTGCACTATTTATAATTTTTTTTTTTTTTTGACGGAGTCTCGCTCTCTTGCCCAGGCTGGAGTGCAGTGGCGCGATCTCGGCTCACTGCAACCTCCGCCTCCTGGGTTTAAGTGATTCTTCTGCCTCAGCCTCTCGAGTAGCTGGGATTACAGGCACATGCCACCACGTCCAGTCAACTTTTTTTTTTTTTGTATTTTTTAGTAGATGATGGGGTTTCACTGTGTTGGCCAGGGTGGTCTCGACCTTCTGACCTCATAATCCACCCACCTCAGCCTCCCTAAGTGCTGGGATTACAGGTGTGAGCCACCGCACCCAGCTAATATTTTCCACACAATTTTTTTTTTCTGAGACAGGGTCTCACTCTGTCACCCAGGCTGGAGTGCAATGGTGTGATCTTGGCTCACTGCAACCTCTGCCTCCAGGCTCAAGTGATCCACCTGCCTCAGTCTCCCAGAGGATCTGGGACTACAGGCGTGAGCCACTCTGTCCAGGTAATTTTCCTATTTTTTTTTTTTTTTGTAGAGACAGGGTTTTGCCATGTTGCCCTGGCTGGTCTAACTCCTGCACTCAAGTGACCCACCTGCCTTGGGCTCTCAAAGTGCTAGGATTACAGGCACGAGCCAACACACTCAGCCCATACATCTTCTATATTTGTATTTTCACTTCATGTAAATAAAGATGCATGCCATGGTTATTTGGCACACAAACATGTAAAAATAAAATATGATATATATTCACCAACACTGTGGCAGGTTTCACAGTGTAAGAATATCAAAATTGCACTTTCTATGGGATTTTCATTATATCCATATAAATATTCTAAGGCAGAGTGTAGAGAGAATAATTCAAGTGCAGAGTATGATTACAGTTTCCCAAAATTGTATGTTGATTCCACAAAGAAAAAAAAAATTGTTCTAGATCCTCCAACCTAAAAGACTGAGTGTATTGTTATTATCTGTTATGAAGTATCCTACTGAGGTAGGATAAAACAGTGTTGGTACAAAGAATGTGATTTGCTCATAGTTATAAGAAAACGTTGAATTTTTTTTGGCAAAACATTATGTCTGTGACACATTCTTAATAAAACTATAGCAAAATGTAATTCCAGCAATTAGTGTGAATTCTACTAAAAAAAAAAACAAACCAAACCAAAACAAAAAACACGGTATTCTGGTTCTTCTGACCAAGCTCTCCATTCCAATAACTGTTATCTCTTCGATTTCAAAAATAAGCCTATTTTTCATCAATCTCTGCTATAAAACAGCTATTGCCATTCAATAGAGAAAGTGGCAACCATTTCCCCTGCACTATTCCTATCACATATATGTCACTAATAACCTATTACATATATGTCACTAATAACTTATTACTCTCCTCTCATAAAAATTCCAGTGTCCTGAGGTCTTGGCCTACTCAATGCAGGTAGAGCCTGACTTCCCTAAAACCCATGGTGTCTCTCAGAAGAGCACCTTGAACACAATCAGTATGATGATTGATAATCATAGTTTTACATTATTTTCTGCTCCTAAACCATGGTCTC